TAAAAAAAATTGAAACTTAATTTCCAGAAATGTTTTTGAAAATTAAAATCCAAATCTAATATGTATTCCATTCCGTTCCAAAAAAAAATCAGAAAAATATTGTTCCAAAATTGGAAATATTCGAATCGTAACTGACCGTATTCGAAAATCCCATTCCAATATTCACCAATGGGAATTTTCTGATAAATTCCATTTGAAAATGTATAATTACAAAATTAATTTAGTTCAGCTCTTCTGTAGGATGAATAAAATGGGAATTAATTAATATGCCGGTATTTATTTAAAAAACAATTATGTGCCTGAGCAAAGTCTAGCCCTACAAGCTGGTACAATATGCTATATTTCCAACATGATTACAAATTATCTTTTGTTTGAAGATTTCTGTACTGTGAGTGTTATATATATAGTAGTAATTATTAACTAATATGTACTTATACTAATTAACAGCTTAATTATAAAACTTTTCTTTGCACTGATCACATGAATTTATGTTACTACATACAACTGTGGCTTTGCTTTTGGATTTGCCGCCTTAATTTGCATTTATGTATTCGGACACCCCTTTTTTTTACTTAAGAGGCAACATATACCAGGCAAGGTTCTAAAAGACGGTTATCGGGTACGTGGCGGTTTGGGACCGCCACACGATAAATCGGCGCGGCGGTGATTTATCGGTGATAAATCGGTTTTTAAATTTAGTGTAATATATTTCTAAAAAAATATTAGTAAATACTCAAAATATATATAAAAGAATATTTAAACATAATTCTATCCTATCATTCATATGTTATTATATAATTCTAATTACTCAATAAATAACAAAAATTTAAAAATAATAAGATCATAATATAATAAAAGATTCTTACGAAATACAAATACTACGCAAGTCTTTCGCATCAACAATTAATATAAACACAACAAAGCATAAATTGCGGGATAGTACTTGATTTGGTTTTGGAAGTTGAAAGAATTGGAGAAAAACAAAAAATCAAAACATATTTTCATTTTAATTTAAATTATAAAAAAAAAAAAAAAAAAAAAAAACCGATTTGTTGACCGATATATCGGTTTGACCCGCCAAAAAACCGCCGCAAACCGCCTCGCCGTAAAAAACCGATATTCCAAACCACCTCAACAAAATCGTAAAGGTTTATAACCGATACCGATATGGCGGCCGATATATCGACCGCCACGACCGCTATTTAGAACACTGATACCAGGTATGAAAAATCATTGCACCACAACATTTGCTTATTAAAGAAACTTATATATTTTATATTATACCTGAAACTCGAAACCCGAAAACCGGAAACAATGTTAGTCATGTCTAGGGTACTGA